TGTGTGTGTGTGTGTGTGTGTGTGTGGTGTGTGTGTGTGTGTGTGTGTGTGTGTGTGTGTGTGTGTGTGTGTGTGTGTGTGTGTGTGTGTGTGTATGTTATGTGTGTGTGTGTGTGTGTGTGTGTGTGTGTGTGTGTGTGTGTGTGTGTGTGTATGTGTGTGTGTGTGTGTGTATAGGTTATATTCATGTATTTATATATATATATATATATATATATATATATATATATATATATATATATATATATATATATATATATATATATAGGTATATATCCGTAATATACTTTTGATAATAATGATACAAAATATAAAGTAATATTAATGCTTAATAACAATAATTTTATTAATAACAATGATAATGATAATAATAATAATGATGATAACAATGATGAGAACAATAACAATTATAAAGACAGTAATAATAGAAATGATGTTAATGTGATAACAATTATATTGATAATAGTAATAAATGTGATGAAGATGATGTTGGTAATGATTATAACAATGATAATGATTATGATATTAATAAAGATAATAATAATGATAAAAATAACAGTACTTATGATAACAATGATAATGAAAATAACAATAGTCTGATAATGAAGATAATGATAATGATGATAATGTGATGATGATAATGTGATAATAACAAAGATAAATGTAATGACGATAATGAGGATGACCATGATAATAATGATAGTAATGATAATGATCCCCCAATCCCTTGCTCTTCGTTGCCGGGGGGGGGGGGCTAAGGAGGATCCCCTCTGCCTTGGACCCCAGGGGCCGGATTCTCAAAAGAGCCTTAAGTTAAGGCGCGCTGGAGGCCTTAACCGTCCTGCTGTATTTCCCTTATATAAGAGCGAAGAGAGTTGATTTCCCGCCCGCCGTAGAGCGCTAAAGGCTGCTCTCCCCCTTCCTGAACCTAAGGCGCCTTAACTCGCACCAATATGGCGGGTCCCTTGCTCTGTGTACGTGTATGTAAGATCGCTCGGCCGTAAGTTAAGGCGCCTTAAGGAGATACGGCACCTTAACGCGTTTGAGAATCTGGCCCCTGATCTCGCCTCAACTAATTTGGTCTTTTCTTCTCCCCCTCTTCTTTTCCTCCTGTTCTTCACCCCTCCTTCCGTCCACATCCTAAAGTGTGAGAGCCGAGAGGAAGAAAGGCTGGCCTTGTGTCAGTCCTGAACGGCCTTGTCCTCCGTCTGTCCTTCCCTCCTGACCCCTTTCACTGCCATCCAGACCTACAGCGATCTAACGCCTCTGGCATCTTGCAGGTTTACTCCTCGTCGTTGACTCACCTTTATCCTTTTCGCCATAACACTTCATCATAGTGCTGCACATGCATTTGCTTTGACCATTTACTATTGTGAGAATCCACAAACATCGCCTGATAAAAAAAGAAGAAGAGGGTCTTTGCCCCAAGTCTCACCCTTCGTTATATTTTGAACATGCCGCTAATGACCGATGTTGACGCGGCAGAAAAGGAGAAGAAGAAAAAAAATCTTTTCAGGGGCTTTTCCTCAAGTCTCACCCTTCGCTATATTTTGAGTATGCCGCTAATGACCTTCGATGTTGACGCGGCAGAAAAGTTTCATAAATCCAAGAAATTATGATAAAGAAAATAACATCATGATGATAATGATAATAATGGTTCGTGCTTCATTACGGAATCGTATATGCATGGTTTCTTTTTTTCTTTGAATAATAAATCATATGAAAATAATGACAACCATTTGTTGCTGCCTTGTTTGATAATCAAAAAAGACTAAAGTAGTATGACAAAATATATATAAACTTCGTTTCACTGCCAATTTTGGAACAATGTGCCTTAACAAACCTCACTGATTGTGAACATGATGTGACTAGATTATCAATTAGCAAAAAGTATGTTTTTTTGAGAACTGAGCAATATGCTGTCACCTTTAGTAACTATTACAACCCTAGAATCCAGATGATATTTCTTTCTCTTATCCGTCATTAGTCGTTAGTCGGGGCGTCGGATTCCTCCTAACTGGGGCGTTGGGGCCAGCCTTCGGAGAACCATAGAAGTAAGGCAAGAAACGCATGTAATCATGTCAAACCCATTTACTGAAAGGCGCAGTGTGGCCAACCCGAGAAAGGCTCTGTTCTGTTCTCCTTTGAACTCATTTATTAGATTTATTCATTATTATATCTAATAATTTTCACTGTGTCAGTCGATGATCTCCCCTGTAACTGCTTTTAGTGTTTCGGCCTTTGCATTTTGATTGATAAAAAAGCTATCAGATGATCATGCCTATCGGAAAATAGGATCAGGGTAATTGTACACCAGAGTAAGGTAACGTTTTATTTGCATATACAAATAAACTTTTTCTTCAAAATAACATATGTAAGTACTTGTAGTAAGGAATGTGATTTCAGAAAAATACTCTAAGACTTTCACTCTAATATTGCGTCACATAAGAGCGATGGTAGCGGGAGCGAGAGCCGGTGCTGAAGGCCCGAGAACTGGCTCCTTCCCAATCCGCGAGGGAGTCCTTCGCATCCTTGTCCTCCCACCCGCCAGCTGTGTCCACGTGGGGCTTCCTCTCGCTGCAAAATCCCCTTGCGCTGTAGCCGCTTGCTCTCTTCCTGCAGGTGATCGTCAGGATTCCGTCCGAGGACAACACGCAGCTGATGGCGTCTCGCTCGACGAGCTCAGGCAAGGCGAAGCGACGCACGAAGCTCACTCGGGACACTCTGCCTCCGTCCTGCCTCTCTGCTTGACCCTCCACCAGCAGCTCCTTGCCCTTCACCAACTGCACTGTCACGTCGCCCTTCATGAAGTCAAACACGTCCATCACGATCTGAAAAGGTAGAAAAAAATGTTATTTAGATAACTAGCTATTCAGTCTTAATTGAAAGAAGGATTCCAAATGTGATATAAAACAGGCTTTAGTAAGAAGCAGTTTCACACCCACCTTGTGCGAGTCCTGATCGTCCAAGATGCCAACAGCCTGATTTTCCAACTTGAGGTCGCGTTGACGCAGACGTCTGTAGTTGTGCATGGCGTCGCTTCGACAGGTCCATTCACTGGCCTTTTCCAGCACTTCTCTCACCGCCTGGCTGAAGCTGTTACGGACATTTGCGAAGCAATAGTCTTCAGCAAACACCTCTCCTCTCTATATGTGCAAAACCCTGGTTTCCATAGAAAGGCTTGGAATGTTATACTTGAAATCCTTGCTGCTGTCATTTGTCATCTTTGTCTCTTGTTGAACATGTGTCCACCTTCAAACTCTTCGTCATCGTCTTGGAAAGTGACTCGGTATGGTTATTGGATTGTTTGGCAAAAGCTCTTAATTCCTCGTCATCAGAAGATGAATCTCTCTTCTTCAGATATTCCTCGGCGAGACGATGTCCATTTCTAAATTTCCTTGAAACCGTTGCCTCGACATCGTCCATGTCTTCTACATCAATCGAAAAATGTTTTCGATTATGGCCCTCCTGCGGAACAGCAAAGTTAACTTGTATATTCTTTTTGATGCGATTGTTCATATAATGTATTCTAGACAAACGCCTCTGTATGTATATTGAACATGTTGTTTGTGTTGCAGTTCTAGTTATCTATTCTCTTTACTCCCTCAAATAACACAGTGCTGGGCACAGAAATTCCTATACATATTTATATAACAATATATTCGTGTATGAACTTCCGAACGTATACACAGATGACCTACCTTCTTTGGAGCCAAAATTTTAAGCACACCGTCAGAAGACATGACTGAAATGACAGCCTCAAGCTCAATGTCTCCAGGAACAACGAAGCGCCGAAGGAACCGCTTGCTGGACTTGGAACCGTCTTCCTTCTTCTCCAAGTGACCTTCGACCAACTCTCGCTCGTTCACAGCCTTCACGCTGATCTCTCCAACGTCCATAAAGTCGTGAACATCAATGACAAACTGAAAAAGAAGAAAATACATGACAAAGGTTCATTCAGGCAATGAGTTATCATGATGTTTCAAATAACATTTCTTGAGAGAGAAACAGATTATATAATTAGTCTATGTCTGTACCTTATAATGGCGTTCATCTTCCGAGGACGTCACAGCCTGAGTGTCTTCCTCATATTTCGTGCTCGTAGTTTCCTGTAGGAAGTCATCTCGTCACCGCAGGACTTCTCTCCCCATCTGCTCAGGATTTCCCTAACGCCTTCTGGAAATCCTCCCTTGTGTCTCGGAAGAAGTAATGGGAAAAGAAGTGTCCTTTCCTCGTGATAGGAAAAGATTTCTCTGTGAAGTTAGAAGAGAACCACTCGCCAAACGAGAGGACGTTCCCATAATTGCGTCTTCGGTGACGTTATACTTATTAGTTTCTTGAGACCCTGCCACTTTCTTGTCCAAAGCGTCTCAGTCTATTGCTGTCCTCGAAACTGCAATCAAGATAAGGCGTCTTTGTCCCGACGTGAAATCTCGAGGAAATGACGAGTTTCCTCGGACTGAGACGTCATATACTCGTTCAGTCCATTTTGGTTTTTCATTCTTTGGTCTCAAGCAGACGTTTTTCAGCAGGAAGTGAAAGTGATTTCGAGTGAATGATTTCTTTTGTGAGGCTGCGTTTTGCTTCAGTTTTAATGGAGTTTTCAGCAGTATTTGCCTCGACATTTCCTTCCTGCAAAACAATAACTTTATACAATATTTGCGTAGTGTAGATTTTTTTTTCTTTTTATTCATAGGTGATTACTCCTAGCAAAATCAATAATAGACTTATAGAACATACCTTAAACATCACAGTGACTGTGAGGATGCCATCTAAAGACATGACAGAAGTGATTTTAGTAAACTGTGGAAGAGAAAGCGGCGTCTGAAGGAGTGAGAGGTTTCGGATGAGGTTCCTTCTTCCTTCTTCACCACAAGTCCTCGATGACCAACTCCTTCTCATCAACGACTTCGCTTGTACATCTCCACTCATGAAATCATGAACGTCCATAATTATCTGGAAATAATAGGTAGCTTTTTATACCTACTTTTGGAATGTTCTTTGAGGAATCATAGTAGTAATTTATTTAGTAATAATATTGATATTACTCAAAATGACACGAAAAGTAACAATGACAATAATGTCGACTAACCTTCATACAAGACTTGTCTGATGTGACGATAGCGGCCTGATTCTCTTCCCTCAGATCGCGAGACCGAAGCTGCCTGTAGCGTTCCAGGATATCGGTGTGGCGGAGGTCAGTGTCGTCCTCAAAGTTGACTTGATTGCACCTGCCCAACACCTGCCTGAGAGCGGCACTGAAGTCTCGGTGAGTCGAGGAAGAATGAGTCTTGGAAGAAGTTTCCTCTTTTGGTGATGAGCAAGAGTTCTTCTGGCGAATCTCTCTGAATCCTTCTTGTTCCTTTCAAGGATTCGATAGCTTCTGCTTCTTCTGCAATTGTCTTAGGAAGTATTTGTATCTGTTGGGCTGGATTCTTTGGTTTCAGTCGTTTCTTCGGGTTCAGCTGCCCGACACTATCGACGGCTTCCTCTTCATGGGTACAATCTCTGGATAACTGAAGGAATTTGTGCAACTCTCAATGGCTGCCGACTGAGTCCTTTTGCTGTCGAGTGTTTCCTCAGGGATTGTTTGGTAATTAAAGTTCTCTTGAACTGCTGAGTCGTTCTCATACTTATTTTGCCAAGAAAATTGTGCAAGTTCCTCGTCAATAGTATTGGACCTTTCTTGCACAGACGCGGCATCCTCAGTAACATCGAAAATGGTTGAAGACTTTGAGTTCTGACCTGACACATTCTGAGCCTCAGCAACAGTTTCGTGTGAGTCTTCCCCATCAAGAATGTCAACAGATTCCTGGGAATCTTGGAGATCAAGAATTTCAACAGATGAGCCTTTCACTTCAAGAATATCAACAGATCGCTGTGAATCTTTTACATCAAGAATGTCAATATCTTCCTGCGACTCTGTAAGATCAAGAATTTCAATAGCTTCTGAGCCTTTCACTTCAACAATGTCAGAAGATTCCTGTGAGTTTTTTCAGATCCTGAATATCAATAGCCTGCTGAGAGTCTTCAAGATGAAGGACTTCTGCAGTTTCGGAATCGTTTTCATCTTCGGGAATGGCAGACAGAAGAGAATCCTGGGAGGAAGTTCCAAAGTCACGAGAGGCAGACAAATTGCCAGACGTTTCAGTCATGGCGATCGAACTTCGGCGACACAAGGAAGCATCTGAAATGTCTGCAAACTCGGAGCAAGACTGCATTTCATCAGACACAAAAGTTGAAGAATCAGCCAGCCCTTTTGCAGGTACAATAGATTCTTTGTTGTCAATAGTTTCTTTGCTTTGATTTTCACTTTCTACAAAGTCGAAATCAGTATCATGACTCGATGTTGCTGCAGAATCAGTCAACAGGACTTCTCGTGCTGTCTCAGATTCCACCGAGTGACTCATTTCTTCAGATGAGATCGGAATCTTTATCTTCAATGCTCGTATCTTCTGCCACAGAGTCCATGCAGTCATGTGTGGCTTTGCTTTCTTTTTCACATTCCTCATGGAGGGAGATGGTTTCATCAGCTGGGAATAGCGAGCGTTGAACTTGAGAGGATTTTTGAACTTCCTCAACAGACCTGATCACTTTGTGTTCCTCCGGTTCTTCTGCCTGTTAAACAATTTAAATATTAGCTTAAAAATTATACTTGATCTTATAAACAGAAACACGAGTGTGTGTGAGTGCGTACGTGAGTATGTGTATCAAGGAAAGAGGGTGCTTGTGAGTGTCTGCGATGTGCACGTTTTTATTTGTAACATCTTTTTGTATTCTTAGTAACTGACATTTTCATCTTTGTAACATATAGCATAAGTAATTGTTATCTCCAGATAATCCTTACATACCATTTTTGAAGCGCTGATTGTAAGAATGCCATCTGAAGACATGATGCACGTGATGGCTGTCATGTCAATATGCTCTGGCAAGGAGAAGCGGCGTCGGAAGGAGTAGGAGGACACGGATGAGCTTCCTTCTTCTCTCCTCTCCACACGACCCTCCACCACCACCTCCGTCTCGCCCGCCACCTTCACCTTCAGATCCCCGTTCATGAAGTCTTGGACGTCCAACACGATCTATGAAAATTTATGTATATTAAACAATAGCCATAATGCTTACATCTGGATATCATATTTGAATTAATAAATGTTCACATGAAGAACCCACATGTAAACAGTTGAAAAAAAATATTGGGGTTTAATTGATCTTTAAAAGGCCTTTAAATAAATTGTATTAGTAAGAGAGATTGTTGAACTACTTACCTTGTAACTAGTGTTGTCGGACGTGACGATAAAGACTTGGGTCTCTTCCTTCAGTTCGTGGGATCGAAGCTGTCTATAGCGGTCCAGGATATCGCTGTGACTAAGGCCAAGGAAGTCCTCACTGTGTGTGTCGCTTCGCTAACCCACTTCCCCAGGACCTCTCTGATGGCAGCGTCGAATTCTTGGCGGACATCGAGGAAGAAGGAGTCCTGGACGAAGCTTCCCCTTCGAACGATGGGCAAGATTTCCTCGCCCAGTTTGATGGCTTCAGTCGAATCAGATTCTGATTGCACAGTTGCTTGTTCCTGTTGTTCAGAAACTGAATCATCATAAGAGGCTTTTTTTCAACGACTGTCGATTCAAGAGTTTCAGCCAATCGCATGAGTTCATGATCCTGAATATTGGCAACGTCTCCACGAACAGAAGCAGTTGTAGACTCATCCACAGACGGATTGTGGCAGATCTTGGACTTCAAAACTTTCCTTGGATTCAGCAGGAAATTCGAATTCTTTCTTCAGCTTTCTCGTCTTGTTCTCGTAAGAGTGTTTTCGTTCACACCCAAACTCCATCTGATCCACATTAACAAGTTTCTCGTGAACAGAGATATTTTTCTCCGTCGTGGACGAAACTGCTTCGGGTGTTGAGTCGTGAGCTGTTGATGATTCCTTCCTTTCCTCGGTCGCGGAGAAGTTAACGAGTGAGTTTTCCTGTGGTTCTCCTGCCTGAATGAAACAAAAACAGGGTCATGTAGATTATATAATGTTACATTGCAGTGTGATTAACATGTCAGGTCTATATTTTTTAAGCATGATTATGTAATGTAAACATAGGTTTATTAAGTTATCTTAACATGAAAAGTAAGTTATTTACCGTTTTGAGAGCAGTTATTGTGAGGATGCCATCCGAAGACATGACAGAAGTGATGCGTGTCATGTCAGTGCTGTGAGGCAGGGCAAAGCGGCGTCTGAAGGACCGTGTCGAGACGGACGACCCTCCTTCCTCCTCCGCGCGCCCTTCCACCACCAGCTCCTCGTCGACGACTTTCACCTTGACGTCTCCGCGCATGAAGTCATGCACGTCCAGCACGATCTATGAGATTGAAATTGAATTGAATTTGCTTTATTTTTAAGTTAATGAAAATATGGTCAAAATATAGTGATAGGACTGATGATTATCAATAATAATGTTGAAAGTGACAATGATAATAACACTAACAATGAAAAATGGCATTGAATGATATGAATATTGATAATTGAAATAATGATAGTAATGATAATGAAAGCAATAATGGTGATAATGAGAAAAAAAAGAAAGAAGCAGAATGAATCGGATAATGATGAAGCCCATAATAGTATGTGAAGATATTCTGCGACCTCAGTGAAGTGTGCATATCAAGTATAGATAATCGTGTACCAAGAGAAAAATCAAATACTTTGTAATCAATGAAAATATCTTGAATACTTTAGGCAATGCCGAGTGCTGATACACAGAGAGGGGACTGACCTTGAGGCTGGCACTGTCTGACGAGACGCAGAAGGCCTGGTTCTCTTCCCTCATGTTTCGAGATCGAAGCTGCCTGTAGCGGCTCAGGATGTCACTGTGACTGACATCGCCTGTCAGCGTGAGGTCGGAGTCGTCGCATTTCTTCAAGATTTCCCTGACGGAGGCGTCGAAGTCTCGGCGAATGTCGGAGAAGAACGAGTCTTGCAAGAAGCTTCCTCTCCTCGCGATGGCCAAGGAATCGTCTTGCGAACTGCCAAGAGTTTCCTTTGCTTCCAGCGAGTCGGAAATTCTTGTGGAAGCGAAATCTGAGATCACAGACGACTGCTTCTGTGATGATTGTTGGGAGTTGCTTGAGATACTGGAAGCTACAGTTTGGGTCTTGTTCTCGTCGATCTTCTCCTGATGGCATCGTGTGGATTTGCGTTCCTCCTGTTGGGCTGTGTGGGACGTTCTCTGGCCAGACGCCGCTTCCTCAGAAACTCCCGAGGTCGTCGAGGAAGTTGAGCTGTGAACTTCTGCATTGTGCGTTTCCTTGACGCTAATGGGGATGACAGTCGTCTTCTGTTGTGTTTCAGTCTCCTGTTGGTTAGGATGGCGTATTTACCATGCGAATGCCTTCTACATTTTAATGAAGTCAGTTTTATAACATCAGAAAAGCGTTGATATATTTAAGAGAAGCTAGGACAATACCTTCTTGGTCACAGTGATTGTGAGGATGCCATCTGACGACATGACAGGCGTGATGGATGTCATGTCAGTGGACTCAGGCAAGGAAAAGCTGCGTCTGAAGGTGCGCGAGGACCCGGCCGAAAGGGCCTCCACCAGCAGCTCCTTCTCGCCCATCAGCTTCACCTTCACATCTCCATCCACAAAGTCATGCATGTCCAACACGATCTGTGACATGATTCACGCTATCAGTAACAAAAAAAGTTTTTCATTCGCCATAAATCGTAAAAATTATTTATTATATTTTTCAACATATAGATAATTGGATAAGAGTGTGTAGTCTACATGCTACTTACCTTATAACTAATTATCCGAAGTGACTGTAACGGCCTGGTTGTCACTCCACAGGTTCCGCGATCGCAGCTGTCTGTAGCGGCCCAGTCTGTCGCTGCGGTGGAAGTCGTCATCATCCCAGAAGTCCGCCAGCTGGAGGTCGGCGTCATTCCAGCCGTTGAGGACCTTCCTGATGGAGGCGTCGAAATTGCGGTGTATACCGGAGAAGAATGAGTCCTGGAAGAAGTCTCCCCTTCGAGTGATGGGCAAGAGAGTGTCCCTCGAACCGCGGTGAAGTCTAGAGGAATCAGCTGTTCCTTTGGTCCCAAAATGGCATGAACAAGTTTCTTTTCGTGCAGAAGACGAGCGTTCTGAGTCTGTGCTAAGACTTGACTGTGTAGTTTCCGATTCGTCGTTTGATGCCATTTGTGTTCGAGTTTGGCTGACTTTCTCACAGTTATTCAAAGTGGAAGTCTGAGTGATGATTTTTTGTAGTTTCCGTTTCTGTGAGGTAAAATGTAACATAACATTAGTATCAATATAATATTGTTTTTTTTCTTACAACATTATTTTTATATATAATTGATTAGGAGAAAATCCTTGACTCACCATTTTTGGCGCAGTGATTGTGAGGATTCCATCTGTGGACAAGACGGACGTGATCGCTGCCATGTCTGTGTGTCGAGGCAAAGAGAAGTAGCGTCTGAAGGAGTGTGACGAGACGGACAGGCTTCCTTCCTCCTTCCTCTCCACGTGTCCTTCCACCAACAGCTCCTCCTCGTCCAACACCTTCACTCTCACATCTCCTTCCAGAAAGTCATGCACGTCCAGCACAATCTGGGAAACAGAATTTATATGCTATGATTTTAGCTTTTGTGGACTTGCTCTGCGAGTTTACACACTAGTTAACCGTGTCTTGTTTAACAGACAGTTGTTATATCGACTCACCTTGTGACTTGTTTTGTCAGATGTGACTGTGACAGCCTGGTTCTCTTCCTTGAGGTTGCGAGATCGAAGCTGTCTGTATCGGTCCATAATATCCTCCCGGCGGAAGTCTTTCGCTTGGAAATCGTCGCCACTCCATCTGGCCAACACCTCCCTGACGGAGGAGTCAAAGTCCTTGTGTGTGTCCGAGAAAAACGCGTCTTGGAAGAAGCTTCCTCTGCGACTGATGGGAAGGAACACACCCCACGCCCTGCTGCTTGACCTTGCCCTGCGCGAGCACTTTTCCGCGGGCGTGGAGGAGACTGTCACGTCGTAGGACTTTTCCATCTGAATGGGCGCCATTTTCAAAAGAGGAATATGTATACACTTGTGCTATGACTTGAGAGGAGATCGTTGGAGGTGCACGTGCGCTTGTGAACTGAAGGTAGTTGGGAGGACAGCAAACATATATACCGTTTGGCGAGTGCGAGCGTGTGACGTGGCAAGGCGTCACTTGGCAGGAGCAGCTGTTGCGCGGCTGCCAAAGTCCAGAGATGTGAGTAAACAGGCGTGACTCGGGTCCAGCATCAGCGTTGGCGGCTTCGGTACGACTGACGCAGCATTGCTTTGCCAAACTGCTTAATCCGCTGGATATTTCGGGAATTTCGCAAAATCTTTTTCGAATACGTTTATTTTTAACTTGATCTAAGTGTCATTTTAGCTGGAATTGTTTACATAAACGTAGATATACACATCCAAGTACGTGCACCCACATACATGTATATATAGATATATAATATGTTATATATATATATAGCTGTGTGTGTGTGTATTCATATATTTGTATGTATGCAAACACACTTATATATATATATATATATATATATATATATATATATATATATATATATATATATATATATATATATGCATATATATGTATAGTATATATATATATATATATATATATATAATATATATATATATATATATATATATATGTGTGTGTGTGTGTGTGTGTGTGTGTGTGTGTGTGTAAATGCATATATATATATATATATATATATATATATATATATATATATATATATATATATATATATATATATATATATATATATATACATATATATAATATATATATATATATATATATATATATATATATGTGTGTGTGTGTGTGTGTGTGTGTGTGTGTGTGTGTGTGTGTGTATGTGTGTATGTGTGTGTGTGTATGCATATATATATATATATATATATATATATATATATATATATATATATATATATAATATCATATATATATATATATATATATATATATATATATATATATATATATATATATATATATATATATATATATATGTGTGTGTGTGTGTGTGTGTGTGTGTGTGTGTGTGTGTGTGTAATATATGCATACATATATATATATTATATATATATATATATATATATATATATATATATATATATATATATATATATATATATATATATATATATATAACTTCATTGATTGTGAACATGATGTGACTAGATTATTAACTAGCAAAAATATGTGTTTTGGAGAACTGAGCAATATGCTGTCACCTTTAGTAACTATTACAACCCTAGAATCCAGATGATATTTCTTTCTCTTATCCGTCATTAGTCGTTTAGTCGGGGCGTCGGATTCCTCCTAACTGGGGCGTTGGGGCCAGCCTTCGGAGAACCATAGAAGTAAGGCAAGAAACGCATGTAATCATGTCAAACCCATTTACTGAAAGGCGCAGTGTGGCCAACCCGAGAAAGGCTCTGTTCTCTTCTCCTTTGAACTCATTTATTGGATTTATTCATTATTATATCTAATAATTTTCACTGTGTCAGTCGATGATCTCCCTGTAACTGCATTTTTTTTTTTTTTTTTTTTTTTTTTTCTTTAGTGTTTCGGCCTTTGCATTTTGATTGATAAAAAAAAGCTATCAGATGATCATGCCTATCGGAAAATAGGATCAGGGTAATTGTACACCAGAGTAAGGTAACGTTTTATTTGCATATACAAATAAACTTTTTCTTCAAAATAACATATGTAAGTACTTGTAGTAAGGAATGTGATTTCAGAAAAATACTCTAAGACTTTCACTCTAATTTGCGTCGCATAAGAGCGATGGTAGCGGGAGCGAGAGCCGGTGCTGAAGGCCCGAGAACTGGCTCCTTCCCAATCCGCGAGGGAGTCCTTCGCATCCTTGTCCTCCCACCCGCCAGCTGTGTCCACGTGGGGCTTCCTCTCGCTGCAAAATCCCTTGCGCTGTAGCCGCTTGCTCTCTTCCTGCAGGTGATCGTCAGGATTCCGTCCGAGGACAACACGCAGCTGATGGCGTCTCGCTCGACGAGCTCAGGCAAGGCGAAGCGACGCACGAAGCTCACTCGGGACACTCTGCCTCCGTCCTGCCTCTCTGCTTGACCCTCCACCAGCAGCTCCTTGCCCTTCACCAACTGCACTGTCACGTCGCCCTTCATGAAGTCAAACACGTCCATCACGATCTGAAAAGGTAGAAAAAAATGTTATTTAGATAACTAGCTATTCAGTCTTAATTGAAAGAAGGATTCCAAATGATATAAAACAGGCTTTAGTAAGAAGCAGTTTCACACCCACCTTGTGCGAGTCCTGATCGTCCAAGATGCCAACAGCCTGATTTTCCAACTTGAGGTTGCGTTGACGCAGACGTCTGTAGTTGTGCATGGCGTCGCTTCGACAGGTCCATTCACTGGCCTTTTCCAGCACTTCTCTCACCGCCTGGCTGAAGCTGTTACGGACATTTGCGAAGCAATAGTCTTCAGCAAACACACCTCTCCTCTCTATGTGCAAAACCCTGGTTTCCATAGAAAGGCTTGGAATGTTATACTTGAAATCCTTGCTGCTGTCATTTGTCATCTTTGTCTCCTTGTTGAACACGTGTCCACCTTCAAACTCTTCGTCATCGTCTTGGAAAGTGACTCGGTATTGGTTATTGGATTGTTTGGCAAAAGCTCTTAATTCCTCGTCATCAGAAGATGAATCTCTCTTCTTCAAATATTCCTCGGCGAGACGATGTCCATTTCTAAATTTCCTTGAAACCGTTGCCTCGACATCGTCCATGTCTTCTACATCAATCGAAAAATGTTTTCGATTATGGCCCTCCTGCGGAACATCAAAGTTATGTATATTCTCCTTGATGTGATTGTTTCTAGAATGTATTTTAGACAAACGCCTCTATATGTATATTGAACATGTAGACACGCAATTTTTTCTTTCTCTTGTTTGCAGTTCTAGTTATATCTATTCTCTTTACTCCCTCAATACACACAGTACTGAACACAGAAACATTCCTAACTATATTCATATTACAATATATTCACGTATAATCTTCCGAACGTATACACAGATGACCTACCTTCTTTGGAGCCAAAATTTTAAGCACACCGTCAGAAGACATGACTGAAATGACAGCCTCAAGCTCAATGTCTCCAGGAACAACGAAGCGCCGAAGGAACCGCTTGCTGGACTTGGAACCGTCTTCCTTCTTCTCCAAGTGACCTTCGACCACCAACTCTCGCTCGTTCACAGCCTTCACGCTGATCTCTCCAACGTCCATAAAGTCGTGAACATCAATGACAAACTGAAAAAGAAAATACATGACAAAGGTTCATTCAGGCAATGAGTTCTCATGATGTTTCAAATAACATTTTTTGGCAGAGAAACAGATTATATAATTAGCCTGTCTGTACCTTATAATGGCGTTCATCTTCCGAGGACGTCACAGCCTGAGTGTCTTCCCTCATATTTCGTGCTCGTAGTTTCCTGTAGGAAGTCATCTCGTCACCGCAGGACTTCTCTCCCCATCTGCTCAGGATTTCCCTAACGGCCTTCTGGAAATCCTCCCTTGTGTCTCGGAAGAAGTAATGGGAGAAAAAGTGTCCTTTCCTCGTGATAGGAAAAGACTTCTCTGCGAAGCTAGAAAGAGATCCACTCGCCAAACGAGAGGACGTTCCCAATGGTGTCTTGGTGACGTTATACCTGTTAGTTTCTTGAGACTCCCTGCCACTTTCTTGTCCAAAGCGTCTCAGTCTATTGCTGTCCTCGAAACTGCAATCAAGATAAGGCGTCTTTGTCCCCGACGTGAAATCTCGAGAGAAATGACGAGTTTCCTCGGACTGAGATGTCATATACTCGTTCAGTCCATTTTGGTTTTCATTCTTGGTCTCAAGCAGACGTTTTTCAGCAGGAAGTGAAAGTGATTCCGACTGAATTATTTCTTTTGTGAGGCTGCGTTTTGCTTCAGTTTTAATGGAGTTTTCAGCAGTATTTGCCTCGACATTTCCTTCCTGCAAAACAATAACTCAATATAATATTTGCGCAGTGTATGACTTTTTTTTTTCTTTATTCATTGGTGATTACTCCCAGCAAAAGATATATCAATAATAGAACTTAGAACATGCCTTAAACATCACAGTAACTGCGAGGATGCCATCTAAAACATGACAGAAGTGATCTAGTAAACTGTGGAAGAGAGAAGCGAAAGGAAGGAGAAGAGGTTTCGGATGAGGTTCTTCCTTCCCTTCTTCACCCACAAGTCCCTCGATGACCAACTCGTCGTCAACGACCTTCGCTTGTACATCTCCACTCATGAAATCATGAACGTCCATAATTATCTAATAATAGTAGCTTTTTAAATGGCAACCTACTTTTGAAATGTTATTTCGGGAATCGTGGAAAAATTTATTAGTAATAATATTGATATTACTCAAATGACACGAAAAGTAACAATGACAATAATGTCGACTAACCTTC